GAGAAGAAATGAACGAGAAACAGAGAGGAAAAGGTCCACAGGGGCTGTTTAGAAAATAATGAAGAATCTGGGGTTGTTTTTTCAACTCACTCGTTATGATTCTTCAGCACACCATAGCTGATATCTCAATTTCTATCGGCAACGGGCCAACGGCTGGATTTTTCAAGCGTTTACACCAAACAGAAACGGCGATACTTTTTCTGGTATTGTTGAATGACCGATGTGGCCCTCTGAGTTGGATAGAATTACTGAATCCTCTGCTTCGAGTCGGCTTCTTTTTAGGCGAATGCCTTGACTGGTGGTGCAGGAAGAGGGGGAGTGGGACGACTTTTTGTGTTTTTGGAGAAAAAGATGCGTTACAATTGAATTAGGCAAAATTAACGTTTACCTTCCTAAAAAAGTTGTTTAATTGCTTTCAATTTTGAGTCAAAGTTAGATGAGGTAACCTCAATTGCCCAATTAAATCCCTTCTTTTTGGGTTAAATAATTATACCCTCTTTATCTTTCATCAAGAGGAAAGTGTAAAATAAGGAAACTAAAGACACGAAAATCCTCAAATTACTTGTGGAGTTTCTGGATATTATTTCATAGCAAATTCTGATTTTCTTATGTCAAAATATCAACGGCGTTTCTTGTGAACGAAATGAAATCATGTCTAGCTGTCCTGGAGAGTATTATTCTATTGAGAAATATTTTGAGACAGAACAAGTCAAATGATCACATGCAATCAGAATATATCACCTGTTTTGTAGTAATTAATTAATTAAATCATTACTTATTAAGATTAATAGCAATAATAATATTGGATTGGAGTACATTTTTGTGATCATTCATGGTCTCAAAGTCAGTTGGAGAACCATATATATATATATACTGGTCCTTTGTCAAGAATATGGTCTGTCCACTGAAGAATTTCAAATTGGAAAGCAACTTTGCTCAAAAAGATTGCAAGAATTTTACTTTTGCTTTCAAGGTGGAATTAAAATGTATCTCACATCACAGCGTGCATGAAAATTTGAGAAATTTTAAAAGCATCTCCTAAAACCTAAAGGTAGTCAACAAGATGATGATTTGGCATATTGTCTATATTAATATACCAACTTATCGAATTCAAACAATATTAAAGCACATAATCTATAGAATCCATGTTTAAAATAAATAAATAAAATTATTAGTGGATATGACATTACTTCAAGACTTTTATTTTATATGTATGTTTACTTTTGATTCTTTAATAATGGAAATAAGTTGAATTTTTCTCTTACATTTTTAGTATTAGTATTACAGCATCTCCGATAGTAGTAGCAAATTAAACTCTTCAAATTAGAGTTTGTTGACCTGTGTCGCAATTTGAAAATGTTTATTTGCTAAGTAAATCATTTTTGCTTTAATAGACTCTTTAATTCAATTAATGAAATATAATTAAAAAGAATGAAAAATAACACAAGGATGTTTTTAATTACATTGGTATATAATTACATTGATAAAAATAAATAAAATATAAAATGAAAGTGCTAACAAAGTTCGTTTCTTGAATTGAATATCCAATAAATGTTGACATATTTTTATTTTGAATTTTAGATGATGCTGTTATGCAATAAACAGTTTATTGCAGCCGACCAACAACAGCATTAGCTCGTATGCCGTGTCCAAGGGGCATCTGAAGCAGAAGCATGGTGTATGTATGCAAATGTAACATGCACTGCAGCGCTGAATCAGTCTTTTGTCTGTCAACATCGATCAATAATTCAACATGTTCATATGAGAAAAAGTCATTGTATGCATTTTTGGGATGTCATCATCCTGTGGCTGTGGGGCTGTGGGGCTGTGGCTGTGGGACTAAAATGGATCCTCTATGTTGCCCAGAAAACAACAAACAAACACATCTGCTTCTGCTCGACACCTTATTCGAAATAGGACAAACAAACCACCACCTCAAGAACAAAGTGCGTGCTTAATTATACAGTAATAAACCTTTCCATGATTACAACTACCACCGAGACGAAAAGCAATTAAATATTAAAGACGGGCAAGGTATAATTGTTAATTATGATCATATGTAGTAGTACATCATCATCATCATCATTATCATTACCATGATGCCGTTCTTCATTGTTTGCAAAGAAAGCCATGAATTAATCATGGCCACGGCAATATTTACAACAATTTTATAAAAAAAATCAAAAAGCAAATTATATTAGATTAATGCCTAACAGAGCAACTAACAGTTCAACCAGGACCCATACAGGGTAGTGAAAATACTAGGTCTAAGAAGACTATAAAACCAATGAAATGCAAAAAGGCAGAACTACAATGAACAAAAATGTAATATTGCGTGTTTTTTTTAAATGCAAATAATAGTTTAAATTATAAAAAGATGAATATTTTTCACGCATATACTATAATGGTATTATGGGGTTCGATCTTGACACCACTAGTCTCGAGTTATATATATATATTGCATGCTTTTAGTTTACTTCGAATTGGTAAAATGCTTGTGGCATAATTTAGGGCATATATATAATAACAATTCTTATAATAATTAACAAATCCTGACAATAAATATTTAAGATTTGTGCAATGTGAAGAAATTGAATGGAAGAGTAGAAGTAAGCATGTTTATTTAATTCGCAGACGCTGGATTTGGCGAAGTTGCATGCATGAGGCTTGAGGCTTTGAGGCTTTGAGGCTTTGAGGCTTGAGGCTTGAGGCTTGAGGCTTGACTATGAGAATGAGATGAGAGCACAGAAAGTCAACGCGATGTTTGGTCGCATGCGGCTGTGGCTACCCATCCCTACGACAACGTGCAAGGAAAGTCCTTCGTCATTTCCCATTTGACAATGCCCGTGTTCTTGTCCTTTTTAATGTTTATTCTATTCATCACGTTTTATGTGTTGTCCCAAAATACCCTTTGACATTTATTCATTCACGCATTAAAAAAAGGAAAAGGAAACAATTTCAACCTATTCTGCACTTCCACCCATTTGTCATTATTAAAAAAAAAAGGGGAAAGTAAGGGTATTTACTGTTCACGTGAATAGTGATATAGTAATATTTTTGTTACTTTTTCTACCCATTGTCATGATCATAATATAAAATATTGATAATATCAAGGATATTATTGTTTTTTTGAGTCACGGATATTTCGGAACATATCTATACATATTGTATAAATATCGAAAAATATTGGTCTATAATTTCGCTCAAACGTCAGCAATATTTTGTCAAAATATCACTATAATGTCAAAAATGCCGTTATAATATAAAAAATATAGATGTAATGGAAAAAAGGGAAAAAAAACACAAAGTGCACACACAAGAGATTCGAACCCATGCCATTTCACTCCTCCAACGCCTTAACCACCATGTTGCTTATGTTTTTGTGATAATATGCAAATGAGAACTCTGTGTGGTATTAAGTCACTCATGTATCTTACCATGCAATGTATAAAGTGTAAAATATTGTAGTAATGGTGCGTTTAACCTTATTTCATTAATTACTACATATTTTCTACAATAATCAACTTAAATTAGTTAAACCCATCATGCAATGCATTTCTTTCCAATTTTTTGTGATAAACTAACAGATAATTGACTAAATAATCATCCTCCAAAGTTTCAATAAAAATTTCCAAGTTTTTCTTATAATTTCCTTGGTTTTTATTAAATTTTTATCAATATCAATAATATTCCGATATTTCCATTGAAATTTGTGTGTTTTTGGACTACCGATATTTTCGATACCATCGATATTTTAGACTCATTGGCAATTACTATTCATATGAGATTAATTTTATTTATATGTATGAGATTAATAATAATAATTAAAAAAAATTGCTAAGTATGTATAAAAAATATTCTAAATTTTTTGATAATTTTGTTTATAAATAATTTCATCCTCAGGTTGTTCTTGCCTTCTAGCTTGCTAGACTTGCGTTGAGGGATTATGAATTTATACATTGAGCATTTGTTTAAGAATAAGCATCTTGCCAACGAGGGTTGGTTGAGTTGGTAAGGATCGTTCTTTTTGTTATCCATATCTAGGTTCAAGTTCCGCTACCGACAATCTCTCTTAATGGGTAATATGTAAAAACCAAAAAATGAACTACTTGGCCTTGGGATGAGGTAGCCTTACCCCTCTAAACCTTCTATTACAAAAAAGAAAAAAAGAGAGTATAAGCATCCTCCTCTAAATACACGCGCCATTCATACTTTAGACTAATAATCTTTTAATCACGTTATAAAATTTGAAAGGATGCATTTCAAGTCAAGCGAGCTCAAGAAAGACTCAAAGCATATACTCTCTTAAAAATTCAACATTCAAGTTAAGTCCATATGAAATGGTAAATTGGTCAGCTAAACCAACGACAGGTAGGAGGACCATGAGAAACGCCTTACATTTCGTTACGGTGTCGCGGGATCTTTTCCAATCATTTACGCTATCCGCGTTACTTTAATTATTTAATGCATTCATTAATCATTTTTACTAATATCATTATTAGGTTCATGAACCCCCTTCTAGATACAAACATTCCTGTTTTTAATCAATCATTTCAAAATAGCTGACCGTTTATTTTTTATTTTTTTATACATGCCTTGATAATATTGGGGGATGATTTGAACATTACACTTAATAACTTGAACTATAAGTCGTTTGCGTGACCAATTAATTCTAGCATAGGCTTTACCAATCAAACAAGAAAAGAACAGAAAATTATGAAATTCAAGCTTAAACCAATTATTGCCATCCCATTAATCATAAACCACAACTGCAGACATCATGATCATCACAAGGCTTATTAATCATCTTCACCTCCAAAACTTGTTATACATTAGTAGCAATTAACACCAAGAACATCCTTATAAAATAAACAAATACAGCCATAAAAAATTTAGAAATCTGCAGCCGTTAAAAATGCATATCTCACTGTACAAAGTTAATAATACTATTCATGGCAGCATGTCTAAAAGGAAATATATCTAAACAGAAAACAAAAATCTCAGAGCTTTAAAGTAAGATCAGGTGAAGATGAACTTGTCTTTGTATTTGGTGGCACGGTGGATCCTCCTGAATTCATTGTTGGATTTTGAGAAAACTGCATATTCGAAGGATGACCTCCAACTCCCTCACCCACCTGACGGAAACTCCCAGGCCAAAACATACCCACATCATCCTCTTCCATAAACATTGGCACTCCAAAATAGCCTTGCTGAAACCTTGCCACACCTCTCGTGTCAGGGAGAGGGAGCCTCTGATCGGATGGTATCATAATGTTTTGGTGCACTGCAGCATGAGCTTCGATACCAAGAGATCGAAATGCAGAAGCAGCAGAACCATGCAGGGGAAGAGATGCCAAGCTAGTGTACCTGTCAGGAAACATTCCCATACGCATAGCACGCTTGGCCATTGTCCTCTCTCTCTTGTGAGCATTCTGATGGCCACCAAGTGCCTGTGAGCTATAGAACTTACGCTTGCAGTAGTTGCATGAGAACACCCTTGGCATTGTTGCTTCTGAAGTAGGGGGTGCAGCTCCTTCAGTACTGCTAGTCTCCCCTGTGCCCTTCAATTCAATGTCACAGGAGCTAAACTGGAGTGTCAAGTTGAGGGAAAGAGGCCCCGGATCTTGTTGTTGGAGGTTTGTCTGATTTGTGAGGCAGGAAGAAGTGGTGGTGCTATCCTTGAGAGATCAGGGGATTCTTCTTGCAGAGGGATGTTGGAATTTTCTTGGCTTGTAACTTCCGAATCATTTTCATATTCCAAGTTCAAGTTTGGTGTGACCATGTTTCAGCAGGACAGTGAAGTCGCGAACTTGTTTCTTCTATGTATCAGAAATCAGACGAAGAATTGAAGGAACTGCTGACAGTGTCGTCGTCAGCTAGCTCTTCACCTGCAATCACGAATGCCAGAATGAGTCATTTTTCATGACAAATTAGGATTCTTTCTTCTCTTCTATTTTGTAGCAAGAGAATTTGCAAAGAGGGATTGGTGGCGGTAAATGGGTTGCATGTGAAAACACATGGACAGAAACCCCACCAACTTTCATTTGATTATACAGTATCTTGACCAAAAAAGAAAATATTTCATCTCATCTAATAAACACCAATCAACTTATCACTGTCTTTCTGTTGAACATGAATCGTGCACTTTTGCCTAGTAGTTGCTATACAATTCCTAGCTAGCGATTCCATATAAAGAAACATGACCAGCTGTGTTCCATCAGCAAACTACATAACAGAAACTCATAAAACAATTATGTCAAACACAATGCATAACATTCTATGGAATACGGAGCTTACAAGGCCTGCACGTATGAACACTCTCTAAAAGTAATATATTGTGACTCGTGCTTTTTTCTAGTTTAGTGGAGATTCTCTGTCTTAATAGTGAGATTCCTATTTAAAACTATCAAACATTTCTCTCATGTGTGAATCTAATGTGCGAGATTCTGAAATTGACTGGAGCTTGGAAGGCCTTGGGATTCAAACACCCCTATTTCCTCTGATATCATATTGTGTAAAAGCTTTTCCTTAAGCAATTAGGAAGTGGGAATAGTACAATCTCAAAATATCTGTAAGGAACTTACTAATCAGAAAAGAAAAAAACAAAAGAAACTCAGGAAGGAGCTTTATATCTCACAGGTTAAAGTCATAACTTCAATAAGGGAAAGGTGTCCTGAGAACATATTTGTTTGTCACATAAGAGTTCTACAAAGAAAAATTGTGCTCTGGGGTGCCTTTGTGTCTCTTTATCTCGAAAAGGGTGCATCTCTAAAAGGTGGGGAATCATCATGAGAAATCAGTAAAACTACAACCATGGTTTACCCAATGTTTGAGACAGGATGTTAAGATTAAAATTGGAGAACATGGAAAAGACAGATTTCCATCAAATTACGAAATCGTATTACCATGATATTGTCATGCTCATACATATATGCTTCTCAAGACAGTAGCTAATGCATGAACAAATTAACAAGATTGTTCGGAATAAGGGATTAGTATGCAATCCCTTGTTCCATATGATTGTGGGTGATAAGTACTTTCATTGGACTATACTATGAAAAGTGGTATTCTTATTCAATTTTTCTGATATGTAATGGTGTACCCAAATTGTCTTCATCCATGTGGATATATATGACAAACTTGAGGTACTTTTGAACACCAGTACTCCTAAATTATTAAACAGCAGAATACCAAATCAATTAATGGAAAAGTTTCCTCAGCTGCTTCCATGAATTAGCTTCTACCTACTACCTAATACCAAATGCTGTTAACATCAAAAGCCCATAGGGAGACATCAATACTTTATAAATTTTCAATAAAGATCCATGATTCTTCAGCATGTCAGTATTTTTTTTGAATGATCTCCTTTAAATTTTGTTATAAGCAACCAAAAAAATTGCTTCCATCCAGAGATGATCAAAATGGACCTTGCTTTTCACCTTTTACTTTTGATAGTCTCCTACAAGTTAACATCTACTAGTTTACTGTAATAATCATATGAATTAGGTACTACAACTCAGCACAACCAAACAAGCATCCAAAGCAAGAGGTTCAACTTCAGAAAAAGCATAATCTTTGGTTTATTCGGGGAGAAAGAATAGTCCAAAAGAAGATCACACAATAAAGAAGCCCAGAAAGTCCGGACTGAATATATTCAAAAACATGGAAAAACAAAAACAAAAATACATCATATGAAATACTCAGAAGCATAAAATCACCAAAGCTCACCAGTCCTGTACAAGTCATTGACAGAGCTCACAATAAATTCAACCATTCACAACCAAGACCCTCCTAAACAAGACAGTAGTAGTAGTAGGTTGAATTGTAGTGATTTTAGACCCCAAAAACCAAAATAAACAAAAGAAAGAAATTAACTATAAGCAGAAAAGCCTAGGACTAGAGCGAGAGCAAAGAAAAACATATGAAAAGAGCAGAAAAGCGCAATCAAAATCAAATCGTAGAGGTAGAGAGAGTTCATACATACATAGTCTTGAAGTTGCAGGGCGCTATGGTTTAGGGATATGCCTCATGCCACTTAAGGGAAGTGCCAGTACCACCACCACAAGGACTAAAGAGACAGGCCTATTATCTTATCTGGGTTTCTTTGCAAGTGTTTTTTACTAGAAAAGGAGTGGGTAAAAGGAATTAAGGGAGAAATAAATGAGGATAAGATGGGGAAGGAGGACAGAGACAGAGAAAGGCGTACACAATTATGGGAAAGAAGTGGTAGGAGGGATGGGGATGATGGTGTAAAGTCTGAAAGATATCAGACAGAGAAAAGGAAACAATCAGATAACACACTTAACCACTATTTTCGTTGAATTTTGGGCTCTTCCACTCTCCAACAGCTGCCAGTTAGTATGAAACAAATCAAATCAATGAGAGAGAGAGAGAGAGAGAGAGAGAGAGAGAGAAGCAAACAGAGAAAGCGAAGAGTACTGAGTTCAAGTCCACATAAAAGATACTTGCAAAGTGTAGTGTCTCTTTGCTCACTCACTCACTGTTCATCTTCTTTCACTTTTAAAGAAGGGTCAGATTCTTTCCAGTATTTACATAACACACATACATACAGATTATCTTCCGTCAGTCAGATGAGATGGACTACCCATAACTCCATCATCATCATCTCCCACTTGCTCACTTACATGCTTACAATTACATGCAGCACATAACATAAGGCCTCACACCTCACACATGCCTTTTATCCATTAATTTCATAATTCATTGCTTTGCTTTTATGATATTTCTTACACTTATTTTATCCCACTTGCAGATTTCTTTTATTTATGGCTCCAACATATGGGACACACATATACTCAAGTCCAACACCATGCAAGCTGACAAGCAAGCAAATAGGGAGAAAGAAAAACACCCAACCCAAAAAAAAAAAAAAAAAAAAAAAAAAAAAAAAAAAACACCTTCCTTTGTGCACCAAAACAAGGGAGGGAGGCCTGCGCTTACCTTAAAGGTGGGTCCACAAATATTTGCAAAGATCTCATCTTCAACTATGAAATGACCGAATGTATTTGTATCACAAACGTTGGGTAGGATGCTTTTCCCTTTGTGGAATTTAACAACGACATTCATTTTAGGTCAAAATCATGATGGTTTAGCGCATCATCCGATATTGGAAGATTTTTAAACTCAAAGTTTGGCAGGGTGAATCATATGGATTGGATGGTAATTTAAAACCGGGGTAGGTTAAGTTGACTCAGTCTAAATAATGGAAGTTCCACTAAATAACCAAAAATGGGGATTATGAAAAAAAAAAATCAAACACCCCAAACACACTTTAATAAACACACTCACAAACCCATTTATAAACACACCCAAAAAATTATACATGTGTGATTTTGTGTGGTATGATCACATAGGTGTGTGTGCGAGGTTGAAATAGTGCTCGAATTGTTATAAAATAAATGTCTAGGATTTGCGTTTATCGAAACTTATAGGAGTAGAGTAGCTACTAAATACCCAAATAAAGGAGTTTTAGAAAAGATAAAAAGGCCAGAGAAAAAACTGAAGAGTCAAAGGAAACTTTATCCTCTTATAGTCTTAAAAATGGGATGTCGGCCATAAGACCCGAAGCTTCTCATCCTCCTCTGCGTCCAGGACTGCGTGTCACACTTCACAAAATCCCCAAAATTAATCCAAGGAAATCGAAAAAATTACACAACATGAGACACTAACTAAAGAAATGCCCCAGACCAGGTAGCACGTGGTGGTGTGACCCGGTCACGGATGTGATGAAAGGAATTGGTACCCCCCTACCCTTGTCATCCTAGTAATCGTGGTGTCATGAGCACGAGACACATACTGTGCTTAACAGCTCTGAGGTGCTTTATTTCGTTTCTTAACAATGGGTGCATGTATCTTCCCGATATTGCTTTTTTTGCTTGGGCTTGATGGATTTACTTTAACTGGGGTGCATAACTACCAACCAAAGGACTGCTTCTGAGGGCCTGTTGGTTTGCTTCGGCTCCCACAGACTCTTATCTTCCTTGTTCTCCTTGGTCTATGCACCGCCACAAACCCGTGTTCGTTCATCATGTACTAGTCTTTTCTCGTTTGGCGTTTTTTGCCGCTGTGCTATTCAAACCCAAAATAAAACGACTATACAATGACTAAAGACTAATACATCAACCAACAAAGAAAAGAAAAATACAACCCACTTGCTTTTGCTTTTGGTAACCCACTTTGGGCGTGGTATGCACAAAAGAACGTTGGGGTGGGGCTTTATATATGGCGCCTCAGACCCCGCTTGGTCCCAACCATTGACCAAAAGTAATACACGAGGGCAGTTTCTTAAGTGAATATTAGTCGTGAATTTTTGTTGGTTGTCATGTCACCTCTCTCCACAGGTTCCTTCCACGGCTCATTTCAGTTTTATAGCATGGATATAGAGTAGGGTACTTTATTATATTCAATCAATCACATATGAATCAGAGTTTCGATCTTTTAAACTAGGTAGCCACGACTTTAATTCCCTTATAGATGATGAGTTTCTACCTCTCTCGACAGGTCTATCCTTGGGTCAGACAAAGGAGGATGCCGTCTGAAATTATATTGAATCGTGAGTGGGCTTGCCGTCATGCAAGTGGCAAATTCTGCCTTGCAAACTGCTGTGATTTGGAGAGGAAACCGGAAACTAAGCCAGATACACATGGACGACAGAGACACTGCATACATGAAATGAAAGGCCCTATGACTGCACTAGTCCACACTGTCCGGTCAAAAATGAAATGGACATGTGAGACGACCTCAGCCCATTGGCGACTAATCCGGACATGTCGGTCGACCCGAAGGTGTTATTCATCATTAACACAGAATCGTGGTGACACGTTCATATGCTTCCAAGTACAACTATATATGTATATTATAATAGAGATATATATATTATGAGGACTACAAATTTATAATTAGCCAATTGGATTAGTAATGATTGCTTTGCTGTGATCATCTGCTCTAAGCATCAGTGCATTTTCTTACACATTTTGTTACTTTACTTGGCCGGTCAGTTGATTTTGGTTTGCAATATAGGAATGGAATGCGTAATCTGGCGTGGCCCCACTCCTACTAGTAATAACGGGGGCATATTCTTTTCTGAAATAATAATGATTTCTAACTTGGACTAAGATTTGTAGTACATTATCTCGAAATCTTCTTACAGTCCATCTCATGATACTTTGATCTTATCTCGTTCTTATATCCAAACCACCAAGATGATATTAACAGCAAAGTTTAAGACCTATTGTTTAGTATTTATACTCCAACCAAGTCGAGGAATTCAGCAGATATATATGCCAGACCCTTTGCGACCCCCGCTAGCTTAGCCGGCATATTAGCAAAAAAAGTTACTTTCACTTGTCTTTGGAGATCTTGTCACTTATCTATCCCACACATTAATATTCTTGTCTTAAACATGCACAGCTACAGTCAGGCAGATAAGCCATAAAGTTATCAAAGATTATTGTGCAACTTGCTTTTCTCTTTCCAGTACTCAACACTTTCACCTTGTTGACAAAAATGATTCAACCACGATACGTTTCCATTATTGAGTCGACCCATCACTTGTGGTTGGGAACTGATCTTAGTTTCATGGGTTATCGACACACTAAAAACCTAATATATCTTGGGCATAAATATAAAATCCAAAGAAAAATTAATGAGATACTAAATGTGGTGTGTATAAACAGTAAGTAGAGAGACATGTATAGATCGATGCCATCAAAAATGAGTTACGGATTAAAGGTTTATATTGGTGTAGGAGAGTGGACAAGTGCCAATGAACCTTTAAGCACTTACTCTGTGGGTGGATTTTGTGTGTTGATCATGGTTTCAGTTAATGTGCAGCTCACCCATTAATATTTATCAGAAAACAATGAGTTGAGAAAAATATATATATAGAACAGCCCAACAAACATAATATACTTTTCGTAAGTTTTGAGTAATCAAAAGCGTCCTCCTTGTTCAAAACTGTATGCCGGGAGGAGGTGGAGTGGAGGATTAAATATAATGGTTACGAGACAGAAAATTGTGTTCACGGACTTTGCCTTAGATGAAAGTAAGCGAGCACATTGATTTGAACCGATTTTCTCCTTGTAGATAATCCCCCAGACAGATCACAACCGGTTTCAAGCCTCATCATTGGCACTGAAGATGCCCTGTTTGTTCTATAGCACTAATTCACCCACAAGCCACTAGCCAGTGCCCTTGTTGTTTATAGATATATATAGATTTAAAAGCCACGGGTGTGTGTCTTATGATACTTTGCTTCTCTTATCAGTACGTAAGGGAGTCCTGCTTCATGCTCTGCTATGATTTTATTGGTCCGGTGATCCCTTCCAAATCACCCATGATCCAAACTAGGCTAAGGCTAAGGTCCTTTTCCCAAGAACAGTCGTCTGCTCCTGCCCTGCTATGGAGGAGCTGCATGGCAACAACTATTTTGTAGCACAGGTAGGCAACTTAACCATCTGTTGCTTTGTTTTTACACAAAATAAAGCACTCGTGAACTAAAATAATAACTTGGCAACGCTACGAAACTTGTCCTATGGGTTACTCTACACTGCCGACTTCTGCCGGCACGTACATGTTTATGTATTCATATCAATCGGTGGCTGAGACATATTTCGGTAGCAACGCTAGAAGCAAACTTGGCTTGTACATCGTACAAATAAGACTAGAGTAGAAAGATTTATAAGTTCATCTTCTGGTCCGTCACATACCACGCCAGTTGGATTCCGTTTGGGGTGTGTGTGGAATCTCATAGTATTAGTGAAAGGGACCCTTAACTGCTTATGGACGTACCGTCTCTCCGAGTCGCCCGCAGTCCCGTTGCAAGTAAACCACAACGTGCATACACATATTCTTGTTCCTCCTCATGACCCCTGTGCATTTTTTTGTTTTATTTTGACTAGGGAGGGAGCTGCACGCCTCCTGGTGCTTCCTGCCCCCCCCCCCTCAGGGGACCCGTACAGCAGCGGCCGTGCAGGGCAGGGTGTTGGAGGCCAATGTTATAGAGCTTGAGACATGCCGCAGCCCATGGCCATTTCCCTTTGTGAAGATGTGAATGGGGGTGCTGGGCGGATGGCTCTGCACTTTGCAACTGGCTGCATTGATCTGGCCAGTGGAGGTAGGGAGCCCGTCCACATGTTCCCTGTCGCCCGGCTCCTTGTCCGCTGCATCATCGCCCCCGACACCCAGCCCGCCCCCGGCCTCGGCTTTTTTTTTTTTGCGCTTTTTATCTCTGATGGGGCAAGTGCTCCGGATAGTGGCGTGGGTGGTGTTGACCCCCGCCCTGGCGACCCCCCCACTCCCTTGGTCGGGCGTCCTCCCCCACTTTCCATTCCCCTCCGCCCTTCCTTCACCTTTCCTTCGCCCTTCTTCCCTTCCTTGTCTGCTCATCACTAATGGCTGTCTTTCTAGCCCACCCCTCACATTCACCCCTAAAATGCTTTGCTCAGCTTAAGCTCTTAGTCCCCGTTGCCGTGAGGTTTATTCCCTACTCTGACCCAGATCGCTTTGTTGTGAATGGCCCATGGTCCCCTGAAATCTTCCCCTCTTCCCTCCCACGCTATCCCCTTTCCCCCCACCACTACCACTCCTTCTTTCTGTGTCTCCCACCATATATCTCTAGCCCCTAAAACTTTCCTATGGTTTTATACCACTCCCCTTCCCCCTACCACCCTCCCCTTATTCCTCTCCTTATGCCTACCTATGCGTTTCTTTGTGCTGCGGCCCTTGCGTTCTACGGGCGCTGCCCCCCTTGTGAGTGCTTCATGACTCCCGCCTGTGACGTCCGCTTATTGCGCCCCCCAGCATCCTCTGGACAGTTCTACTTCAACTTTCGGTTGAGACTAGGTCTTTTATCCCTCGTACTACTCCCTCCAAGAACTACCACAAAGCACTATTCAGGGCGGCTTTTTTTTTTTTTTTTTTTTTTTTTTTTTTTTTTTTTTTTTTTTTTTTTTTTTTTTTTTTTTTTTTTTTTTTTTTTTTTTTTTTTTTTTTTTTTTTTTTTTTTTTTTTTTTTTTTTTTTTTTTTTTTTTTTTTTTTTTTTTTTTTTTTTTTTTTTTTTTTTTTTTTTTTTTTTTTTTTTTTTTTTTTTTTTTTTTTTTTTTTTTTTTTTTTTTTTTTTTTTTTTTTTTTTTTTTTTTTTTTTTTTTTTTTTTTTTTTTTTTTTTTTTTTTTTTTTTTTTTTTTTTTTTTTTTTTTTTTTTTTTTTTTTTTTTTTTTTTTTTTTTTTTTTTTTTTTTTTTTTTTTTTTTTTTTTTTTTTTTTTTTTTTTTTTTTTTTTTTTTTTTTTTTTAAAAACCAAACTAAACAAAAGAAAGAAAAGTAACTTTAAGCAGAAAAACGCCTAGACTAGCGAGAGCAAAGAAAAAACATTGAAAAGAGCCAGAAAAGGCAATCAAACTCAAATCGGTAGGAGAGAGAGAGTTCATACCATACATAGTCTTGAAGTGGCAGGCGATATGTTTTTAGGGATATGCGCTCATCCACTAAGGGACGTGCCAGTACCCACCACCACAAGGCTAAAGGAGGCAGGCCTATTATATATATTCCCCCCCCTCCGGGTTTCTTTGCACGTTTTTTTACCAGAAAAGGAGTGGGTAAAACGGAATTAAGGAGAAAAAATGAGGATCAGATGGGGAAGGAGGAAGAGAAGAGAAAGGCGACACAATTAGGGAAAGAAGTGGGAGGAGGGATGGGGATGAGGGTTTGTAAGTCTGAAAGATACAGACAGAGAAAAGGGAAAAAATCAGAGGATAACACACTAACCACATGTGCGTTGAATTTGGGGCTCTTCACTCTCCAACAGCTGCCGTTAGTAGAAACACAGCAAATCAAGAGAGAGAGAGGAGAGGAGAGAGGGAGAGAGAGAGAGAAGCCAAAACAGAGAAAGCGAAGAGTACGGAGTTCAAGTCCAATAAAAAAGATATTGCAAAGTTGGTCTCTTTGCCACTCACTCCTGTTTCATTTTCTTTTCACTTTCAACGAAGGGTCGTTCTTTCCAGTATTTACATAACACACATCACATAATTATCGTCCGCGTCAGCTGAGTGGACTACCCAGAACTTCCCTCTCATCATCATCTCCCCACTTGCTCATACATGCCTTACAATTTACAGCAAGCAATACCATAAGGGCCCAACCGCACACAGCCTTTTAGCATTTAATTTTCAAATTCATTGCTTTGTTTAGTATTTTCTTACACTATTTTATCACTGGCAATTTCTTTTTATTTATGGCTAACTAGGGGACCCATAACTTAAGTACACAACACCATGCAAGCTGACAAGCAAGAAAAATAGGAGACGAAACAGAACAAAAAAACCAAAAACAAAAAAAAAAAAAAAACACCACCTTCCTTTGTGCAGCACCAAAACAAGGTTGAGGAGGCCTTGCGTACCTAAAAGGTGGGGCCACAAATTTGCCAAAGATTCATCTTCAACGATGAAATGACCGATTGTCTGTGTTCAAAAACGTTGGGTAGGATGTTTTCCCTTTCGTAATTTAACACCGACATATTTTAGGTCCAATCATGATTGTTTATGATCATCCGATATGGAAGAGTTTTTAAACCAACGTTTTGGCATGTGAATCATATTGGATTGGATGTATTTAAACAAAGGTGTGGTTAAGTTGACTCAGTCTTAAAATTATTGGAGTTGCACTCAAACCCCAAAAAGGGGGCTGAAATTATAAAAAAAAAAAAAAATCAACACCAAAAAAACTTTATAAAAACACACAAAAAACCAAGCATACATACACTTAAAACCCATTTTATAAACACACCAAAAAATATACCATGGTGATTTGGGGTGATTTTAGGTGGGTTTCTATGTTTAACAGTGCTAGGTTTTTATAACTACATGTCTATGGATTGAGTTTTTAATAAATTTCAGAGGATAGATTATTGATAATATTAAAGAACCCAAATAAATGAGTTTGTAGAAAAAAATAAAACGGCAGAAAAAAAAAAAGGACGTCAAAGCGAAACTTTACACTCTTATTAGTCTTACAAATGGAATCGTCGGCACACTAGACCCGACAGCCATTCAGGCTCCCACCGAGTACAAGACTTGCTCCCACCTTCACAAACTCCAAAATTAATCCAAGGAAATCGAAAATAAATACACATGCCTAGAAAATAACCTAAGAAATGCCCGACCAGTGCACGTGGTGGTGACACGGGGCACGGATGTGATGAATGAGGAATGGTTCCCCACCCCCCTCCCTTGATCATCCTAGTAATCCTTGGGTAATAAGCACGATATACATAATGGCTGCTCTAATCAGATCTGGAGTATGTTTTATTATTTTTTAACATGTGTGATGTATCTTCCCGATATTTGCTTTTTGCTTTGTTGATTGATTGATGTTACTTTAACTTTGCTGCATAAATAAAAACAAAGGAACTGCTTCATGATGGAATGTTGATTTGCTTTCGAGCTCCAAAACCATACTCTGTTCTTATTTCCTTTGTCTCACTTCTGTATATGAAATCAGCCTACAACCAATTGTTCGTTAATTTCATGTAAAATAGTATTATTCTCGTTTCATGCAAGTTTTTCTGCATGCTCGTGGCTATTACAAAACCAAAATAAAACGACTATACAATTAATACAGCTAAATTACATCAACAAAAAAGAAAAGAAAAATCCAAAACACATTGCCATTTTGCTTTTGGTAAAACAAACTTTTGGTTGGTATGCAAAAATGAACGTTGGGCGGGGCTTATATATCTGGCGCATCAGAAAAAGCTGGTAAAAATTGACCCAAAGTAAAAAGGAGGGCAGTTGTCTTAAGTGAATATTAGTCGTGAATTTTATGAGTTGGTTGTCATGTCAACTTCTCTCCACATGTTCCTTCACACGGCTCATTTAGTTTTATAGATGATATAAGGTATGTGAATTTATTATTATTCAATCAATTCACGAGTTTTAGATCTTTTAAACTAGTAGACAAGACTTTAATTCCCCAATATGAGATTCACGCTCTCGACAGTCTCTCCTTGTGTCATAACAAAGAATGATGCAGTCTGCAAATTATTTGAATCTGGAGTGGGCTTGCAAGTCTGCAAAGCTCTGCAAATTCTGCAATTGCAAACTGATGTGATTTGGAGAGGAAACCCGGAAACTAAGCCAGATACACATGACGACAGAGAGACTGCATACATGAACATGAAATGCCCATGACTGCACTAGTCCACACTGTCCGGTCAAAAATGAAATGGACATGTGAGACGACCTCAGCCCATTGGCCGACTACATCCGTGACTCTGGTCTGGTACCCGAAATTATTCATTCATTAACCCTAATTCGTGGTGACACTGTTCAATGCTCCAAGTCCAATATATATGTATATGTATATATATATATATATATATATGAGTACAAATTTCACTACGCCCAATTGGATTAGTAATGATTGCTTTGCTTGTTGATCATCTCTCTAATCTCAGCTGCATATTTCTTACACATTTTGTTACTTTTACTTGGCCGTCATCAGTTTGATTTTTTTGGTTTGGCAGACTATATGGATATGGAATGCGTAATCTGGCGTGGCCCACTCATACTAGTAATACGGGGGGCATCTTCTTTTCTGAAATACTAATGATTTTTCTCCTACTTTGACTAGGAGATTTGCTACGTACATTATATTCGCAATCTTCTCATCATCTATGATCTCTTTGATCTTATCTCGTCCTTATATTCCAAACCAACCAAGATGATATTAACGCAAAGTCTTAAGACCTAATTGTTTAGGTATTTACTACCCAACCAAGCTTCGGATTAGAGATATATATGCCTGCCCTTTTGCGACCCCCGCTAGCTTAGCTGCAATTAGCAAAAAAAGTTTACTTTCATGTCTTTGATATCTTGTCCTTTATCTATCCCAAACGTTAATATTCCTTCGTCTTAAACAATGCCATCAGCTCAGTCAGGGCATATAATCCAATCCAAGTATATCAAAGATTATATGTGCACCTTTCTTTTCTCTTCCAGTACTCCAAACACTTTCAACCTGTTGACAAAATATTCAACCACGTACGTCTTCCATTATTTGAGTGACCCCATCACTGTGTTTGGAAATGATCATTAGTTCATGTTTATCGACACTAAACCCTAAATTTTCTATTGGGCATAATAATAAAACTCCCAAAAGAAAAATTAATGAGAAGTACTAAATGTATATAAAATAAGTAAGTAGAGAGTTGTAGTAGTATCGATGCACATGCAAAACTGAGTTTAAGGATTAAATATGTTTATATTGGTGTAGGAGAGTGGCAAGTGCAATGAACCCTTTAAGCACTTACTCTGTGCTGGTGGATTTTGTGTTGTTGATCATGGTTCGTTCATGTGCAGCTCCCCCCCATTAATATATTATCAGAAAAATGAGGTTGAGAAAAATATATATAAGAAAGCCCCAACAACATATATATACCTCTTTTGTAAGGTTTGAGTAATCAAAGCGTCCTTCCCTTTGTTCAAAACTTTCATGCCTGGAGGAGGCTGGAGCTGGAGGATTAAATTTAATTGGTTGAGAAAGAAAATTGTGTTTCAAGGACTTTGACTTTGAAAGTAAGAGAGCACCTTATTTTGAACCTCGATTTCTCCTTGTAGATAATCCACCATACAGACTAACAACAGGTTTCAAGCCTCAATCAATTGGAACTTGAAGATGCACTTGTTGTTTATAGCAATAATTAAAAAAGAAATAGAAGATGCACTTGTTGTTATATATATATATATATTTAAAAAGAAAAGTAGGGGTCCTTATGAATTAATTGATTCTCTTATAAAGTAAGTAAGGGAGCTAATGCTAATGCTAATGCTATGAATTTATTGTTACGGTTATACCTTCAAATCACATAATTGATCCAAACTAGGCTAAGGCTAAGGTAACCTTTTAAAAAAGAAAGTCGTATGCTAATGCTAATGCTAGTGGAGGAGATGCATGGCAAAACTATTTTGTAGCAAATGGAAATAGGAAACCCATTATAACATTATTTTGCTTTGTTTTCTACACAAAACTAAAGAAATACGTGAACTAAATAATAACTTGCAACGACTACTCAACTTGTAATTAATTGGTTATATCATACAATGAGACTTATGAAGCAAGCCCATGTTTATGATTATTTCATATCAATTATGTTGATGACATATTTAGGTATCAAAGCTAGAAGCCAAACTTGGATTGTAATCGTAAAAATAAAGAAGCAGTAGAAATGATTTATAAATGTTCATATTCTTGTCCGTCAAATACAACGAAAGTTTGATTCAGTTTGGTGTGTGTGTGAGAATCTCAATTATATTAGGTGAAAGTGAAACTTAACTGCTATATTGAATTATCCGTATCTACTAGTAGCAAGCAGTACAGCTTTAAGTAAACTCACAACCTGCATAAATAATTATCTGTTAATAATAATAACCACTGGATTTGGATATAGGGAGGGAGCTGAAAGAATCACATGGCTCAATGAAACCAAATCAGGGACCACGTACAGCAGAGGCAGTGCAGGGCATGGGACATTTGGATGCAAATGCTATAGAGATGGAGAAAGCAGCAGCACCTGGCCATGTGAAGTATGTGAGGGGGATGGGATGGATGGCATATGCAAATTTGCAAATTGGCATGCATATGATATATGGCATGGCAGGTAGGGAGGACAATGTCACAATGGACATGATGATCATTAATTTGAAGAAAAGAAACAAAAGAAAGAAACATGGAAGTAGAATGAGACTTTTTTGTTTGGGGAAAGTGAAAGTGATAGGTGTGAGTGAGTGAGGTTGACCACCTCACCACATGGCCGACACCACCCACACACTTTGAGTGGTACCAAAATAAATAACCCTTAAGCCATTCCCTTAAACTTACTTAAGCCATTTCCTTCCCTTAATTGCTCTGCTAATCAATAAGGTAATAGTATTTCTAGAACACAAAACCAAAAACCCTAAAACTTCCTTTGCATCATGCTTAAGATTTAGTCCCTTTGCCTATTTATTCATATATACCATAGGACGAGTGAATGAAAATGGTCCCCATGAAATCTTCCCCATATTCCATCAAAAGATATCCCTTTTTAAACAAACCAACACCACCTACTATTTATGTGTCATTCCAAACATATATCTATCTAGCCAACTAAAACTTATCCCATGTTTTATAAAATAAAATAAAAATAAAAAAACTCAAACTTATCCTATCATTATCAAAACATATGCGTTTATTTTTTGCTGGCGTCATTTGAGTTAATTATGAGCTCAAAATGTGAGTTAATTATGAACAAGAAATGTGAGGTAAGACTTATTGATCCACATCAGTATAATATGAGACATTCTCCAATAAATATTTAAGTTAAAATTAGTTATATACTTCTAATCAATACAAGACAACACACAGCACACTCTCATTCGCTAGGTAGTAGGTAAAGAAAATGAAAATGAAAATGTCAGATAAAAAAGAGAGAAAAGCATCGAGCTTGGAATTGGAAATCAACCAAAAGAAACGAAGATGGGGTAGTTTCGGAATTATGTATCAAAATACGGGGTTTAAGGTAATTTAGAGGAGAATGAGATCTGGGGCTTGTCGCAATGTCATTATCCCAAAGATTTGTGATTACGATTTTGGACTTCCCTTCCTACCAATTGGGTCTATAATAAAATAAAATCCTAAGCACATTACACACGCTAGACTCACTCTACCTGTTAGAAAAACAACACACAGCAACCGGAAGAAAAATAGACAAACCCCCAACTTTTCTTTTTTTTCTTTTTCATTTTTTTTTATCAAAAAAATTGGTCACGGAAAAATACCTAACCATATGATGATTTAAAACACACTCGGATCGGACAGAAATGAATATTAGAAAGATAAGCCGGCCATCAGATTCTTTCTGGTTTTAATTGGAGATGCCGTGCTTTGATGGGCAATACGCTTCCTTCTTCCTGTGCAACTCTTTAATCTTTTCCCTTTTACTTACTAGTTGAAAGAACTTAAAAAGCGTAACCCATTTGGGGTTTCCTTTTTCCTTTTTCTTTTTTTCTTTTTTCTTTTTTTAAGGGTCAGAGTCAGACCCATTACGCAAATTTTTTCTGTTGAATTCTAAACTTTGGACTATCAGCTTCAATGTGAGCTCAGAAAGTGGCAAAGAACAGAGAGAGAAAGTAGGAGAGAGAGGTCTAGGGGGGAGACAGAGTGTAGTGTGAAATGCAATATTATAAGGAAGAGAGAGAGAGAGAGAGAGAGAGAGAGAGAAGGGGAGACAAGAGCGTATCTCTGAAAATCCAAAAAATTCGATTCAGTTTGCTTTAAAAAGCAAAGCATAAAAAGTCATAAAACTACTATTATACACTGGAAAACCCAACAAATAAAGAAAGAGCCTCAGATCAAGACGACCCAGACCAAAACTCTCTCTCTTTATAAATTCAGTGAATGCACCAAGCCAACCTCTTTCTACAGTTGTACAGGTAAAAGATGGTTTCTTTCAATTCAACAACAACAACCCCATTTCTTTTTCTCTCCCTCTCTCACTCTGAAACTCTTGGTGTGTTGTGTGCTTAGCTGTGTGTGTTTTCGGGTCAATCCGAGACTTCCATTATTATATAGTAGAAAAAACAGTGAACGTGCTCCTTCTTTGTCTGGATGCCTCTAACTAAACTTCACGTTTTGAGAGGCCATGATTAGAGCTCTCTGTTTTTTTTTTGTTCCTTGAAATCTTTCTTTTTTAGCCTTCACAGTCCTGAGACAGACCGATTTTAAAGAGAGAGAAACAGAAAGACTACTTTGAAATTTGAGCTTTATTTTTCCCATCTTTTGAGAGCCAGCTTGTCTCTTGAGAATTGAGAATTCTTCTTTTTGAGTTCTTGGTCTCTCTCTTTTTACACTATAGAAATGGGATTTCAGTGATTGAGGGAAGAAAGTCCACACTCCACAGTAGGAGATGTGTTCACCTGCTCATGCTTTCAGATGTTTTAATCCGCAAAACAATGCTGTGCTGTGATAATAATTTACTTATAGTTTAGCAGTACCCTTTTGCTTTCTACATCAGAAAAAAGTGTCTGAAAAACAGCCAGTACTTTAAGAAAGTGTGCTTATATATGTATGTAAGTGTGTGACTTCTCGAGGTTCTTTTTTAGCTTAGATATGAGATGGGTAAAGAGGAAACAAGAGGAAGAAGAAGCAAAGAGGTTGATTTGGTGCTGATGGGTGGGAATTTGAAGATGCAGAGCCACCACTCTGTGGCTGTGAGGTTGAATGAGCAAACGGGGACTAAAAAGGGTTACACTTTTGTTCAAGCCTACAGGGCTTGGTTCCCAAAACTTTTTATACTTTGGATCATTGTGATGTTTTTCTTGAGCATGTCAATCTACAATTACATGGATGCTGATAACAAAGTGAGAAGGGTAGAAGTTCTTGGTAGTATGTGTGATCAGAGGGCAAGAATGTTGCAAGATCAATTCAGTGTTAGCGTTAATCATGTTCACGCCCTTGCAATCCTTGTTTCCACATTCCATTACTACAAAAACCCATCAGCAATTGATCAGGTATGCGTTTGAATTTTGATCATAACTTGTTAGGGTAATGTTTGTTTTGCTATAAATTTCTGGAAGACGAGAGGGAAAAAAATTGGAACTTCTTACAGTTGCTGCTGATATGTTTTTAACTAGTACAATTTGGTTCATTTAAGCTACATGGTTCCTAATAGATCTTCCCTTTAAAGATTATGGGGAGGGTATGATATGATTGAATGTGGCATTGCTGGTTTCTACTTCGCGTGTGATTTGGTTTTTGTGTATTTGAGAAAATGCAGGAAACTTTTGCTGAATACACTGCCAGAACCGCCTTTGAGAGGCCTCTTCTAAGTGGGGTGGCCTATGCACAAAGAGTGCTTGATTCGGATAGGGAAAATTTCGAGAGGCAACATGGCTGGACGATAAAGACAATGGAGAGGGAGCCCTCCCCTGTCCGAGATGAGTATGCACCTGTAATTTTCTCGCAGGAAACGGTCTCTTACATTGAATCACTTGACATGATGTCTGGGGAGGTAACTGTAGGATATGTTTACCTTCATTATGCTTATATTGTTTAGCACCATGTACTTCCATCAGAGCATAAACTTGGCGTTTCATTTGACCTTTGAATTTCTTTTCCCCAATGCATGATGCAGGAGGACAGAGAAAACATTTTGAGAGCTAGGGCTACTGGAAAAGCTGTTCTAACCAGTCCTTTCAGGCTGCTGGGTTCTCATCATCTTGGTGTTGTGTTGACTTTCCCTGTTTACAAATCCAAGCTCCCTCCAAACCCAACTGTGGAGGAGCGCATAGCAGCTGCAGCTGGGTAAGTTGGTATACAACTATAGAACTGTTGAAATCCTTTTCTCCAAATGCTTTCTGTATTGTGTTATGATTACCTGCATATATTTTTGCCTTTTCCATCTCCTGCATCTACACAGAAGTTAGCAACCCATCCGTTGGTACATTGGTGTATTCAGACCAATGCCAAATGGCCATTTTCTCCAAGTGACCTCTGTTACCACAGCTACTTTCCACCTAGAAACCCCTGCCCCAAGCTTTGTCTCTGGATTGTTGCCTCCACCAGCAGCTCTAGTTTTCAGTGATTCTGTGAAAATTAAGCGCAATTGGAATATTTTGGTTTACATGTCTTGTAGTTTTCAGTTTGATATTGCTGAAGGCTTCACGTATATATACAGTACTTTGTAGCAAATTTGTTCGTCAATCTTGCAACGGTTACAATATGGCATGATTTAAGTGGAAGGAAGTCTTTACTTTCCTTTCTCATTTTCAAGTGTTTGCATTATTATCTGGAAGTTGTAGATGTGTGTGTATAAAATGAATTCCAATTAAATGCAGGTACCTTGGTGGAGCCTTTGATGTTGAGTCCCTAGTGGAGAATTTGCTTGGGCAACTTGCTGGGAATCAGGCCATTTTGGTTTATGTATATGATGTCACAAACACTTCTGATCCCCTAATCATGTATGGTCACCAATATCAAGATGGTGACACATCTCTTATGCATGAAAGCAAGCTTGACTTTGGAGATCCTTTCCGAAAACATCAGATGATATGTAGGTAAGGGCACCCACTCAATAACTTTTAATAGATGGAGAATTTTAGCGGTTTTGTCATGCTGATGCTCATAATTGGATGCTGAGCAGGTATCATCAGAAGGCACCCACATCATGGACGGCGCTTAACACTGCATTCTTATTCTTTGTGATTGGTTTTTTAGTTGGCTATATCTTATATGGAGCAGCAATGCACATTGTTAAAGTTGAGGATGATTTCCATGAAATGGAGGAATTAAAAGTTCGAGCAGAAGCTGCTGATGTTGCCAAGTCCCAGGTACTATACCCAACATTTTCCAAAACATTGTTCATTCCTAAATGCCATGTTTCTGATCTGTTGTCTTTTTCTTTTCTCATGTCAGTTTCTTGCTACTGTTTCTCATGAAATTAGAACACCCATGAATGGAATCCTTGGTAGGCTGCTGACAGATTCCCTTTTTTAAGATTTTGTTTTCAGAACAATATTATGTTATCAGTCTGTGAATGCTTTCTTGTAAGGGGTACAGTCTTTCTTTGTCTATGATTGCAGGAATGCTTGCGTTGCTTTTAGATACATCTTTAAATTCAACCCAGAGGGACTATGCTCGAACTGCTCAAGCTTGTGGAAAGGCACTGATAACATTAATTAATGAGGTCCTTGACCGGGCAAAGATTGATGCTGGCAAGTTAGAGTTGGAAGAAGTTCCATTTGGCATTCGATCGATACTAGATGATGTACTGTCTTTATTTTCTGAAAATTCTAGAAATAAGGGTATAGAGGTAAGTTCCAATGGCTTCAATTAGAGCAGCTCTGAGTTACTTCAATGTTTTTGTTGTTGGCTTTTATGGTGGCATTATTAAGTTTAAAGGGCCTCAAGGTTTCTTCATTTCTAACATGGTGGCATTTTCATAGTTGTTTTTTCTTATGATCATTTTAATTGTTCTTAAATTATGAAATATGAACTGTCATGCTTCATCTAATTTCTCCTTTTCATTTTCCAACTTTCTGTTCCTTTCATTCTCAATGGATGGTGGAATTCATGATCCCGTTCACCCTTTGCAAATCTTCCGACTCCGACATGTATTTGGGAAGTGAAGCTGGCAGTGTTTGTTTCCGATAAAGTTCCAGATATATTTATGGGGGATCCAGGGAGATTCAGACAGATAATTACAAATCTTGTAGGCAACTCTATTAAAGTAAGTGGAATTCTTCGTGCTTTATTTGCCAACGCATGGTTCTGCATTGGCTTGCCTGCCTAATTCTTGATTTTTGGTTGATATTCATTGTATTAAGCATTTTGCAGTTCACTGAACGAGGACATATTTTTGTCAAAGTCCATCTAGCTGAGTCCTCAAAGGTCGTGATAAATAGAAAATCAGAGACTTACTTGAATGGAGGATCAGATGAAGGTGTACTGACATCTGACGGGCGTCAGTTTAAAACCTTAAGTGGATGTGAAGCAGCTGATGACCGGAATAGTTGGGATATGTTTCAGCATCTGCTTGCTGATGAAGAATACAGAACTGATGTTTCAAGTAATCTGACTGCCACTAATGAAGCTTCGGAGCATGTCACTTTGATGGTATCTGTGGAGGATACGGGAATCGGTATACCATTATGTGCCCAGGAACGTGTTTTTATGCCCTTCATGCAGGCAGACAGTTCAACCTCTAGAAATTATGGGGGAACTGGTATTGGCTTGAGCATCAGTAAGTGTCTGGTTGAACTGATGGGTGGTCAGATAAACTTCATAAGTCGACCTAAAGTTGGGAGCACATTTTCTTTCACAGCTAATTTTCGGAGGTGCAAAAAAAATGCATTGAGTGACTTGAAAAAACCTAATTCTGAGGATCTACCTTCTGGTTTTAGAGGATTGAGAGCAATAGTAGTTGATGAAAAACTTGTGAGAGCTGCTGTGACAAGATACCACTTAAACAGACTTGGAATCGTGGTAGAAGTTACGAGTAGCATCACGATGGCTGTTGCTTTATGTGGAAGAAATGGTTCTGCGACATCCGGGTAGGTTTACTCTTGCTATATCTTTTAAAAGTATCAATACTAACTGTGACGAAGCTGATGTTTTCATTCTGATGTGATCTTCTGTCAATAGAAATTAAATGCCAATACAAATCATTATTTCTGCTTGTGGTTTCAGGCAGGGTAGCTAGTTGTAGACTGAGACTACCCTCTTTTTACATGTTGATATTGGTTTACTGCTGTTACTGATGGTCTCGAATTTTCATGCGTTCATCGATATGTGCTTTACTGGTTGAATCACATGACGCCCGTTTTGTTTTCCCCTTCATAATTAGTTGATCCTGAACCTATTGTTTTATATTTTTCAAATCAATGATTTGATGCTATTGTGGCCTGGAAACTAATTCCATATTTAATTAATTAGAAATAGAGTTGATTCAAAGGAAAAGCCTTGAAAACCAGAATTTGGTAAAAAAATTATAATAAAATAAAAATCTCTCCTAATTGCGAGAGTACAGTTTTGCCATGCGGAAAACTCATCATTGTCGTTATGGTGAACATTTAAATGTACTGGCTGTATAGGCTCTCAAAAAAACAATTGAACTGACTGTATATTGAAACTTGAAGATTCCTCCCAAATATCTTGTTTGAGGACCCAAAAGAAGTTTGCATGTAGACTTTTGGAAATAAGTACAATTGACTAACTGAGTTGAACTACTTTATCGTATATGGCAGAAATATCATCCAGCCAGACATAATTCTAGTTGAGAAGGATTCATGGGTTTCGGGTGAAGGCGATCTTAATATACAGAAATTGGACTGGAAACAGAACGCGAACGGGCATATATTTAAGTTTCCTAAGATGATCCTTCTTGCAACCAATATTGGTGATGCTGAATTGGATAAGGCAAGGGCAGCAGGTTTTGCAGATACTGTGATTATGAAACCTTTGAGGGCTAGTATGGTGGCTGCATGTCTTCAACAGGTGCTGGGCATAGGAAAGAAGAGGCAACAGGGGAGGGAAGTGCCCAATGGATGCAATTTCCTTCAAAGCCTGCTTTGTGGAAAGAAAATTTTGGTTGTTGATGACAATAGGGTAAACAGGAGAGTTGCTGAAGGTGCACTAAAGAAGTTTGGAGCTCATGTAGAGTGTGTTGAGAGTGGCAAAGCTGCATTGGCATTGCTTCAACTACCACACAATTTTGATGCTTGCTTCATGGATATTCAAATGCCGGAAATGGATGGGTATGTTTCAGTGTTTGAGTAATTTATTTTAGATATATTTGTTCTTCTCATTTGTTAGTCATGTTAGCCTCTGTGCTTTATCAAATGTTTCTTTAATTGCAGGTTTGAGGCAACCCGTCGAATCCGGCAGATGGAGAGCAAGGCAAATGTGGAGATGAATGGAGGATTTGAAGGCCTTGCAAGAAAGGGTGATTGGCATGTGCCAATATTAGCTATGACAGCTGATGTTATTCATGCCACCTATGACGAGTGCCTAAAGTGTGGCATGGATGGATACGTCTCAAAGCCCTTTGAGGAAGAGAACCTCTATCAAGCCGTTGCCAAGTTCTTCAAATCTAAAACAGGCTCAGATTCATAACAAAGATTGGCCACTCCTTGACATAAGCTGGAAAATCAAAATCTGCAGACCTCTTGGTTGGTTGGTTGGTCTGGTGTCTCCACCAGCAATTTTTCGATATTCTGCTAGTGTAAGTGTGTTCCTGCAGCAAACGGCAACAGTTGGTCCTAGAATTTTGATGATTCTTAAAGAACCATTTCTAACCAACTCCCAACTTTTAACTCGATTAGCATCCACGTACATGTATACCACAGAGCCTCCTCCATTCCCACTTGTATGTATAGGATCCTTAGAAGGGGAAGGAGCAAAATTGTGTAAATCTTATATACTTTTTGTATGCCTTGTTCGAGTTCATCTTTCTTCTGAGGAAAAGGTTCGAATACCTTGATTTGTATCATTCTTACAAAACAAAGTGTCATGAATGGACACCTGTTTACGTTTTCACCTTCTGGGAATGTAATGAAATATTCTCTTGTACTTCTGGAAATGCATCACCACAGAGATGAGACTCGACCAGAAAGCTGAAAACGAGTCTAAATAGTTATGGAACTTTTGATGATTTATATGCTGATGATAATGACTAAAAATAAATAAGGAGGATGTGGGAAAAAAAAAAAAAAAAAAAAAAAAAAAAAAAAAAAAAAAAAAAAAAAAATAACAATAATTTATAATACAAAATAATTTGTTAAAAAAATTTTTTTTAAGTGAGAGGTTAAATAAATAACATGAGAGGTCAGGTTATTGGTGATTAATGATCCACTTTCATAACCTACAAAACTTGCACTATCTTTAAAAAACAACACATGTTTCTTCTTCTTTTTTTTATTATTATTTTTTTATTTTTTATTTTTATTATTATTCAGGAGTGAACCAACCTTAATTAGCTCCTAATTTTTTTAAAGAGATTTTCTATTTCTCTTAGTTCACCCCATGTTATAAGTTCACCCCAACTTTTAATTTAAATTTTCACAATTTCTAAGTAAATCCCACTATCTTCGCAAACTACCCTTAAATACACCACAAGCTGAAAAAATAAGAAATAAAAGAGATTTTCTATTTATATCCCACAAACCACCTTTAGAGGAGAAAAGCATGAGAAATAGTAAGTATTAAATTACTTTTTTTGATGATATTTCAGAGTCTTATTCATTGTCTGTTTTCAAGTGCATAAACATACAATTTAACTCTTAAGTCTACAAGCTTAGCCTATTCATGTTGACACTGAAAAACTTCACGTGGCTTGTTTGACATTTGAATAATTGTCCTTAAAAGAATTCCTTCAAGTTTCAAACTGATATAAATTGTTGTTGCTTCCTATTCTTCCTTGAGTTTTACAGTGCATTGGTTCCAACCTCTAAAGTGGTCATCAATGAACAAGTAGAAAAGGAAGAGGAAAAGGGGGTCGAAGCCACACTTTCGTCCTTGCACACGACTCCAATTAAGCAATGCTTCTCAACTATTAAATATCTATATAAAAGCATATATTGTTGTTATAAAAGATTATCAACCACTCAGAAGTTACATCATAATAATAGTTTATTTACCTCATCAGTTGTAAATTGTTTAGTTGTGTCCAAAACACTTTCTATCCTGGTATCATGGCTTGGAGTAAAATTATTTTGTTCTGACTGCAAAAAAAAAAAAAAAAAAAAAACCAAAAAAAAAAAAACAATATCAAAAGTACATCATCAGGACAAATTTCAGGACTCAATGTATTGTACCAAAAGTGTGCAGAATTTGCGTCAATATCAAAACACAGCTCTATCAATATCAAATGTAATGTACTGTATAAAAAAAAAAGAAAAAAAAAAAAGAGCTGCATCAATATCAAAACACAGCTAAAACAAGGAAAGATACCAAATTCCAAGTTGGAAAACTTATATGATATGACAAAGCAATCCATTGCTCATAGCCAAAGTAGAAGTACTTGTCTTTTGATATATGATGCACCCAGCAAATTGTAGGACCATTTTCAAAGCTTGGGCTTCTCTCCCTCTTCTCAACAGGATAATAAAAACCCAACTTAGCAATATTCCCATGAATATCTTGGTTTCGTGCCTTTTGAAGGTGTATGTCAATTAATATAATATGAAGAAAAATTCAAGTTACCCCATACTTTCTACAGAAAGAGAACAGTTTTACCAAAACATCAGGTATAAATTTTAAATCAAAAATCAAAACAATTAAGTAATCAACAGCCAAGAGTCCCCAAAAAAAAAATAAATAAATCAACAAAGGGAAGAGAATAAGATAATTACAGCGAAACAATCAACAAGTCTTTCCATCAGCTTCTGCGCAGATTTCAAAGAGGTAGGCTCGTTAATTTTTTACGTCTTTAAAAGAGAAAATTAATCTGGCATAGGATGTAGAAGAGTTTGTATTTTTTTAAAACTTAATTTGAAGAGTTGTGGGTTGTGTGTATAGATGTATTAGGGTTAAGTATTAAGTTGGATTACTTTTTTTGTCTTTTGACATAATAATAAAACTTACAGCTTAATTATTTAAGTATTTGAGTGAATTAAGAGAAGTGTGGGGTTTAAATAGAAAACTTCTTTTTTTTAATTAATCACACAATATACATACATTATACATATATGGCATCCACTTTTGCACATCATTAATTTATATGTTTAGTAGTGCAAAAGATTAAACACACAGACAAGAAATTAAGGTAGCAAGTGTTTTGCAATGAGACCTGAAGAAAGTAAAAGAAAAAGAGTTCTGATGGGCTTTTCCACTTTGTATCATTGTAGGCTTTGTGAACAATAATTCTATTGGGCTTCCGTTTATCATTTTTAGTTTTTTTATAAAAAGATTGGGTTAATATTTTGGGCCAAACGAAGTGGTCCAAATCTATCACCCAAAAAAGAAAAGGAAGTGGTCCAAAGGACGGCTTTTTTTTTATTTTGGGTTCGGTTGTGAACCGAAGCATGATTAAGACCATTTTTGGGGTTGGAAAATATAGGTCGGCGTGTGAAATACGTTTGGCAAGTTGGAAACAGTTGTGAAATGAAGACGATATTATGAGACCAAATTCCCAAATTCCGGGCGGCAAGTGGCAAAAGGAAACAAATGTGAGGACCCACATGCCACATGAGGACAAGTCACATCGGACCAAGTGATTGTAATCCATTAAGGTTATTTATTTATAATGGCCCAAATAAAAAAAGAATAATTCGACGTTATCGTATTCACAATATCTCTGCCATATAAATATAAGCATCCACGACGGTCCACCCAACCCTAACTTTGATTTAGATTGAATATTTCATCTGAAAAATTAAGGGGGAGTTTAAAAAATAAATATAAATAAAACCCAGCCCTGTGTTGAGTTGGAGGAGTTGACTACTGATGAATTTAAAATAATAAAAATAAAATCAGTAAGAAAGTTGTTCAGAAAATAAAAGGAAATAAATAAGAGTGTCAGTGAGTCGGTAGGGTAATCAGAAGAAACGTCAGGGGAGAGAAGAAGGCAACAAAATCCCTCAAAATTTTCCTCCCAAATCCCCTTATGTTACTGCTCGATTTTGGCTTCTGTTCTGATAATCAAAGTCTAGTGAGAGGATTCACACGCAATGAAATTTTCAATTATGTCCTTATTAATGAATTTCTGTTTTTTTTATTCTTCCCTCCTCCGTCTAGTGAGAGGATTTTGTTTTCCTATTTTGTTGTTTGGCAGAAAATTGAAATGGAAGACAGCAAACACGTAAGGTGTAAGAGCATCTCCATCCGTAAGAGCTAAGATACGTGCGCGTCGTGAGCACTCAAATGACAAAACTAGAAATATGTAAGGTGTCATCAATTTATTAAAATATCTCCATATATTTATCATCCAAAGATATTCCGGTACTGAGAAGGAAAAGAAAGAGAAAAAGGAAAGAAGAAAACACCACACGTAATCGTTTGTTAATATGCCAACTATTTCTCTCTGTTTCCAAACGCCATAACGTTAATCAAAATATCATTCAAACAACCCCCTGCCTGCACCACAATTAAACCAATAACACCTTTTCGGCTTTCTTTTTGGTTTTTTTCCCCAATTCAACGACTCTCCCCCCTCAATCTCCGCCGTTTCTTCTCCCTTTTCCTCTCACTAATTCTCCAAATCATTTCACGCCAACATTGTTTAAACACAACCCATAAACCCTAGAGGATTATACACCTTTTTCTTTTTTCTGGCTTCTCCTTCTTTCTTATCACACTCTGTTTTTTTTTCCCTTTCCTCCACTTTCTCGCGGGTTTTTTTTTCTGGAAAACATGAGGGAACCCCATCTGGGTTTCCGGGGTTCTTTCTTTGTTCTGCTCCTTTTGTTCCCCCTGTACGCGCCAGTGCAGTCCCAGTCGGGTCCCGACGGAGTAGCCATGGAAGCTCTGCGCAAAAGCATCGGCCCAAACAGTCTGGGATGGTCCGGCTCCGATTACTGTAAATGGAGCCAAGTGAGTTGCACAAGCGACGGCAAGGTCTTCAAGATCCAAATTGGGAACCAAAAACTCACCGGCTCACTTCCAACGGAACTCAAAAACCTCGCATATTTGCAACAATTGGAAGTTCAGTCCAACCAACTCACCGGGCCCTTCCCAAGCCTTTCTGGGCTGACTTCGCTTCAGGTCCTTCTCGCCCACAACAACAACTTCAGTTCCTTCCCCCCAGATTTCTTCGTCGGACTCACTAACCTCGACAGCATCGACATCGACTACAACCCCTTCTCGGCGTGGCAGATTCCAGGCACTATCACAAACGCCACGGCGCTGAAGCATTTCTCCGCCACTGAAGCCAACATCACCGGTAAAATCCCCGACCTTTTTACAGGCACCAATTTCCCAAGTTTGATTGATTTGCACATGTCTTTCAATTACCTTGAAGGCGAATTGCCTGCCAGTTTTTCCGGTTCTATGATTCAGTCTCTTTGGTTGAATGGCCAAAAGGGTACCAATAAGCTTAATGGTACCATTGATGTGTTACAGAATATGACTAACTTGCATGAGGTTTGGTTACATAGCAACTCCTTCACGGGTCCTATACCGGACTTTTCAAAATTGAGTAACTTAGCCTCTTTGAGTTTGAGGGATAACAAGTTCACGGGCGTTGTTCCCGCGTCTTTGGTGAATCTTAATTCCCTTACTACCGTCAATTTGACCAACAATATGCTTCAAGGACCCATGCCCAAGTTTGGAGATGGTGTTAAGGTGGATATGACTGGGCTTAATAGCTTTTGCAAGGATAAACCTGGTTCTGATTGTGGTCCCTTTGTCAATATATTGCTTTCCATCGTCAAAGACATGGGTTACCCTACAATTTTTGCAGATAGTTGGAAAAAGAATGATCCTTGTGATAATTGGAAGGGGATTACCTGTAATGGAGAAAACATTACTGTTATCAATTTTCCGAAGCTGGGGCTTGCGGGCACGATTTCTTCAAATTTTTCTCTGATTACTTCGTTGCGAACATTGAGACTTGATAGTAATCATCTCACCGGTACCATACCAAAGGAGCTTACGCAACTGCCCGACCTTCAAGAAATAGATCTCACGAATAATCAACTTTATGGTAAAATACCGGTTTTTAAAAGTAATGTGATTGTGAAAACAGAGGGGAACCCTGATATTGGCAAGGATCATATTTCGCCAAACACGCCTCCAGGTCCTAATCCTACACCTGGCCCACCGTCAGATGGTGCAGGTAAGAAATCTAGGACTGCCGTGGTTGTCGGGGCCGTCATTGGAAGTGTTGGTGGATTGGTTGTACTTGGGTTTGTTGCTTTCTGTCTGCTTAAGAGAAAACATAAGCATTCTTCTGGCAGAGTGCAAAGTCCAAACACATTGGTAATTCATCCTCGTCACTCTGGTGATCAAGATGCAGTGAAGGTCACGGTTGCTAGCTCTAGGGTTAATGGCGGTGGAAATGAGTCCTATAATAGTCCCACAAGTAGTGGACCTAATGACATTCATGTGGTTGAGGCTGGAAATATGGTAATTTCCATCCAAGTTTTGCGGAATGTGACCAATAATTTCAGCGAAGATAATATATTGGGAAAAGGAGGGTTTGGAACTGTGTACAAGGGAGAATTGCATGATGGGACGAAGATTGCAGTGAAGAGGATGGAATCTGGTGTGGTGGCTGGGAAGGGTCTAAATGAGTTCAAGTCTGAGATTGCAGTCCTTACTAAGGTCCGACATCGCCACTTGGTTGGACTTCTTGGCTATTGTTTGGATGGAAACGAGAGGCTTCTTGTCTATGAATACATGCCTCAAGGAACTCTTAGTCAACATTTGTTTAACTGGAAAGAGGACGGGCTGAAGCCACTTGAATGGACAAGAAGGCTGACCATTGCCTTGGATGTTGCAAGAGGGGTTGAGTACCTACACGGTTTAGCCAACCAGACTTTCATTCATAGGGATCTCAAACCTTCAAACATTTTACTTGGAGATGATATGCGTGCTAAGGTGTCGGACTTTGGACTAGTTCGTCTTGCTCCAGAAGGGAAAGCCTCAATTGAAACGAGACTAGCTGGAACTTTTGGCTATTTGGCTCCAGAATATGCTGGTAAGTTTTTCTATATGCGCTCTTCTTTTCAAATTTGAAGTGTCAAAGTGTTTGCTTTACAATCTATGATATATATATTTCTGTAAAGGGTTTTGTTCAGTGAAATAGGAGTATGGGACTATATTGCACTGATTATGCTTTTGAGCAACAAGCAAAGTTTAAACCACTAGAGAAAAATCAGTGATCATGAGATAACTGTGGAACTGATATTCTTTATCATTAAAATATGATGTCACCAAGTTGGGACTTGCATTATATTACATGATTACATTGACTGGATGAAACTTTGGTATGCTTGCCAACACACGTAGGACTAAATAATTCAACTGCTCTCTGCACATCTGTTCCCGTTCTTTGAATTTCAAGGATATTTTGGCATGCTAAGTAGTAAGTAGTTTATATTTTTCAAAGTCAAGGAATGTGAAGAATATAGAAAAGAATGATATTGTTAGTTTGAGTCTGTTTAACGTATTTATTGTCTCTAACATGTATGAAATTTTACATAGCAGTTATTTCAAAGGTTAACAAAACCAGTTAGTTCATTATTTTATGGTTTCATTGTACATGCATTTTCTTTTTACTCTATATTTTTGTTAAAATTGAATGTTTTCCTTGTCAATCTTTCCAAGTGTTATGGTCAAGGAAAAAAGGGAGTGGCTTGTTTCATGGAATTTCCTCTCTGTGGAGTGATCAAATGTCTCAACATTGTTTTTCCATACAAAATAAGCATAAACACTCTAATCCAGTGCAGCACTTTTTACTGCTAATAGCCTCACAACATTCATGCATAAGGTTTATTGTACTTATTTCCCCATGGAGTCTATTAATAAATTTTCAAGGCACTAAAATCTCAATTTTGTGATAAATCAGCAACTGGACGGATGACACTCAAGGTAGATGTGTATAGCTTTGGAGTGATCTTAATGGAGCTGATCACAGGTAGAAAAGCAATTGATGAAAGCCAGCCTGAGGAGAGCTTGCACCTAGTCACATGGTTCCGTAGAATGCTGATTAACAAAGATGCACTCCGCAAGGCCATCGATCCAACAATTGATATTAGTGAGGAAACCCTTTCTAGTGTTAGCACGGTTGCTGAGCTTGCTGGGCATTGCACTGCAAGGGAGTCTTACCAGAGGCCTGACATGGGTCATGCAGTCAATGTACTTTCGTCGCTTGTTGAGCATTGGAAACCATCTGAACCTGAAGATTATGATGATATGTATGGAATTGACCTCGAAATGACCCTGCCACAAGCACTAAAGAAGTGGCAGGCTTTTGAGGGTAATAGCAACCTTGATGAATCTTCTTCATCTTCATCATTCTTTGCCAGCGGCGATAATACCCAAACCAGCATACCTACTCGCCCATCTGGATTTGCAGATTCGTTTACATCAGCGGATGGGAGGTAAAGGTAGAGAAAAGAAGTTGAGTTACATTGAAGGTTCCAAGTGGTTGTAGTGCACTGTTTATTCCTTCACCCTTGTGCTTCATGTTTGCTCTTCTTGTAAGGCTTGTGTTTATTTTTCCCGATCTGACAGGGGATATATATATTTTTTGCTCTCTTTATTTATTTATTTATATATGTTGAGATTAGTTTAAATTTCTGGTACTTAAGAAATTGTGGAGATTATTAGTAGAGACAGAAGAGAAATACTAAAAAGAAAGAGTATCTTTAGTGATCATACCTCTTGTTGGGCTTGGTGGTTTAGTTTATATTTGTTACATTTACATATGTGTGTATTCTAAAATATCGATAATATAGATGTTACATTTACATATGTGTGTATTCTAAAATATCGATAATATAGATGAAATATCGAGGATATTATTGTTTTTTTGGGTCAAGGATATTTCGGAACATATTCATACACATATCGTATAAATATCGATGATATTAGAAAATATTGATGTCGATAATTTCTCTTACACTTTAGCAATATTTGGCCAAAATATCGCTATAATATCGAGATGATGAAGACAATTTTTGAAAAGTTATTTACACCAACACCCTATGAGATTTGTTGTGTTTTCACAAAACCCCCTTAGGTCTAAAAAATTACACGAACACATCCTAAGGTTTCAGTTTGTTTTCACAAAACCCATTTTCGTTGATTGTTTGTCCAAAAATTAATGATTTCATTGAAAAATAACATATGCAAATGACAAAATTAACCTCAATGAAGTATATGCAATCTCATCTCAAAGGCCAACTTTGTCATTTTGAGAATTTTTTTTTGTGTATAAAATCATCAATCTTTGGATGAAAAATCAATGAAAATGAGTTTTGTAGAAACAATTTAAAACTTCAATGGGTGTTCTTGTAATTTCTAAAACCTCAAGGAGTTTTGTGAAAAAACTGAAAACCTCAGGTGTTAGTGTAAATAACTCTAATTTGAACCTTATAAGAAGTCTATGTAACTTACCATGCAATGTATAATGTGTAAAATATTGTAGTAAATCATTATAAATAAATGATTAAGGTGTGTTTAATCTTCTTTAATTAATTACTACATATTTTTATGCACTCATAGTATTTGTTAGCTCGTTATATAATCAACTTAAATAGTTAAACCCATCATGCAATGCATTTCTTTTTAATTTTTTATGATAAAGTAATAGATAATTGACTAAATAAACATCTTCCAAAGTTTCAAGAAAATTTTTCAAGTTTTTCTTACAATTTCCGTGCTTTATATTCAATTTTTATTGATAATATTTCAATATTTTCATCGAAATTTTCTGTATTTTTGTACTACTAATATTATCAAAATCATTGATATTTTAAACCTTAGTAATTAGAATAGAGTTGGGAAAATGACTGGTTGAGTGAGAGAGCCTTTGCCTAAATCGTTTTTGGTTTGGTTCAATCAATGTCACGTCTTCATTTATAATTTGATAGTAAAAAGTTGCATAAACTTGCAAAAATGTAGCTAAGTTTTCCATCAGCAGGTGACAGGAAGGAAGTGAATAATTAGGAATGAATGACACTGGGTGGGTGGGGAAGCCCAACCAACCCAGAACAACCACAACAACAAGACACAGCTCAGCCTCTATTTTGTTCTTTTAGGCTGTAGAGTGTGGCAATGAATGACACGTGTCCGACATGTAAGGAAGTAGATACGCTTGCCAGCTGCATTTGTTTTATCTTCTCTCTCTCTCTCTCTCTCTCTCTCTCTCTCTGTAGAATATTCTCCAACTCCGACAGTGACTAAGGTGGGGCACACCGCACATCCCGCGTGCCTCGTCCGTATTCCTCCAAATGACTTATCATTTGATTGCTTAATCGGATATTTATTTTTCTGGGGGCTACTTTTATTTTCTTTGATTATGCTGTTGACGTTCGAGTCCAATTATTTATATTATATTATTGCCAAGTTGCCATGCGAATACAAAAATAATAGCCTAAGAAAAAAGCACACAAGGGTTTCTCCTTCTTCTAGATGTTCGTTTTGTTTGGTTTATGTCGAAAGTCATCATCCGCCTCCATGCGCTACCCTTTCTATGCGCTAGTTGGTTAGACTGGGACTTTTTTTTTAAATTTTAATTTTAATTTTATAAATTTAAAATATATATTTTCTGTCCCCATGCGACACCAGCTGTGTCATTCTTGTCTTACATGGGATTTTGAGAAACATTCAAATTGGTTTCAAAAATCAATGTGACGCTTATGACCTGCAATGGGCTGTGAAATTTGATCAATCATGACACTTGGCACTTCCTTATGGGCCTCTATTCACATCCACGCAGACGCCTCCTAGTTTGCTTATTGGGCTCATCTCATCCCGACGTTAGCTACCTCAAGCCCCAAATTATTTATTCAATTTTTGGGCAGACAAATAGTATATGATTTCACTCAAAATAATTATAGTAGCATTCTCTCTCATCGTCTTTTTTGGACATTCTCTATTCTCCTCATTACACATGTCATTTTACTTACACATAAAACAATATCATTAATGCATTCCATGAACTAATTTTTATTTTCTAAATTTATCCCTATTAAATGCATTGTCCATGTATATTGCTTTATTTATTTTTTCAAAATCCGGTGTTTTTTTATTAGAAATTTCAATTTTTATTTATTTATTTTATAAACAGATCTGTTTAAGAAATTGAAATTAAAACATTAATCCAACCCAGCGAAGGAATTGGTGCAAGGAAGATGTTACGTTGGTGGCAGGGATTGACTGATGACACAATGGGGTGGGAGATCGGCGTGGATGGGGATACGCAGTTGCTCTTTTTAGTACCGAAAAGCCATGAATTCAATTTCTTAATATTGGAGGGTTTAGTGTCACTGCCAACAACGGAGTCTAGCCTAGTGGATTTAACTTGTACTCAAAAATATTAGAGGGCTTGGTAACGGGCATCATCAGTTGATCGTTTTAAAATTAGCTGGTGACAATTCAAATACATAACAGTCAATTTACCAAATATTAATTAAAGACTTAAAGAGCGAGGGAGAGGCCTAAACCCACGGTTTGACCAAGTAGTTGAAGACGGGTATACTCAGAATGTTAATCAAACGCATATCCGTCTTACATCCATTCCATATGAATGAGGTGAGGCTATAAGTCGGTCAGTCCACCGACCCGCGCTGACTGGCTTTGAGTCAAACATTTGATCTTTGATCAATTCCAAACAGTACCCAACCCCAGCACACTCTTTGACGGACGGTGTTCCATTATACCATTTCAAACATTCAACGGTCAAATATTCAAAACCCAGTTTCTGAGCTCCTTTATTATCTTATTATTCCTTCTCCTCCTCCTCCTCCTCATTTTATTTTAAAAACCTTTTCCCGAGTTTCAAAGTTGAACCGCGTCCTTATTTTAAACATTGCACACGTACAACAACTGGCCTCATAATATTTATAGAAACCCATTCTCATTCTCATTCAACACAAACACACAAAAACAACCATCCTCTCTTATACCTACTCAACTTAATTCAGATCCACATTCAATTCAATCATCATGACTTTGTCATGGAGAAGGCTCAGGCCCGGCCGCCGTGCCTCCAAGGAGCTGCAGCTAGGCGAGCCCGCCGACGTGGAGATGGAGCTCACCATACCAAACCATTTCCGCTGCCCCATCTCACTAGACCTCATGAAAGATCCGGTCACCTTGTCCACTGGAATTACGTACGACCGCCAAAGCATAGAGACGTGGATCGAAGCCGGAAACCTGACTTGCCCAATTACCAACCAAGCCCTCACATGTCTCGAGCCCATTCCCAACCACACCATCCGCAAGATGATTCAAGATTGGTGCGTTCAGAAAAAGTCCTTCGGCATTGAACGCATTCCCACTCCTCGCATCCCAATCACTTCTCTTCAGGTCTCCGAGATTCTCTCCAGAATTACTACAGCAGCCAGCCATGGTCAAAAGCAGGATGATTGCAGAGATTTGGTACGGAAGATCAAGGCCTTGACAAAAGAAAGCGAGCGCAACAAGCGGTGCGTTGTTGCTAGTGGCACGGGGAGCGTTTTAGCCGCTGCTTTTGCTGCACTTTCATCCTCACAACGTCAAAACGTTGCCGTCTTGGAAGAAATCTTGTCGGCTTTGACTTTGGTTTTCCCACTGGATGGGGAGGCCTGCTCTTATCTCGGCTCGGCTGCTTCATTGCATTGCATGGTGTGGTTTTTGGAAAGTGGAGATTTGTCCCACAGAAGAAACGCAGCTTTGGTGCTCAAAGAGACTCTTTCTTCCGATCATCAAAAGATTGATGCTTTGCTGGAGATCGAAGGAGCTTTAGAGGCACTGGTAAAGTTGATCAAAGAACCCGTTTGTCCTACTTCAACAAAAGCCTCCTTGGTCGTCATGTACCACATGGTCAACAATAATTTCACGTCGTCTCTTTCGAAAGATAAAATCAAAGAGAGACTTGTGGAGATGGGATTGGTCTCGTTGCTCTCGGAAATCATTGTGGATGCCGAACGAAGCATTTGCGAGAAGGCGTTGGGGGTTCTTGATGGACTTTGCGGAAGCAAGGGAGGGAGGGAAAAGGCCTACCATCATGCTTTGACTATGCCCGTTGTGGTGAAGAAGATACTTCGGGTTTCAGATTTGGCGACTGAGTTTTCGGTATCCATTCTTTGGAAGCTGTGCAAGAATGAGGGGAGGGAAGATGGAGGGGTGCTTGTGGAGGTCCTTCAAGTGGGCGCCTTTCAGAAGCTGTTGTTGCTCTTGCAATTAGGGTGTGCGGAGAGGACCAAAGACAAGGCCACCGAGTTGTTGAAGGTGTTGAATATTCACAGGGAGAGGTTGGAGTGCATTGATTCTATGGATTTTAAGGCGCTCAAGAGGCCTTTTTGATTCATCAACCTATAAAATTTTTAGGATGAGAATTGGAAATAAGGGTCATTGGTTGGTCCTTTCAAAAATATATATTAACAGTTAATCAGTATTGTACAAAATACCAATACTTCAAAATTTAGAGATATACAATATTCTACAACGATCTTATCAGCATCTTGGGCTCTTGAGTTCGTACGGCTTTTAATTGGTCCTTTGAGTACTTGTGCTTGGTGTGTGTTTTCTTAACTTGAGTTTTAATCAAATTGTTTGGCCAATTATGAATCAACCCTCTGAATCAATGAATTTTTTTGGGATGAATACCCTGCGTGTCGACTCTGTGACTTATGGGTGTAAACACATAGACTCGATCATCAATTGTTGGAAATCTTGATAACGATTCCTCATCTTCATGCGTTGGCAAGTTCCCAGGAGCTTGAATTGACTGATCTGAATAAATAAATAAATAAAAAACATAACCAAAAAACAATTTAAGCAAAACAAAAGAGAACAAAGTCCCATAATATACTAAAATATATTAGAAAAAGGGGGTTAATCGTTTTATTAGTCCTTGAATTTAGACCCAGTTTGTATTTGAGTCCCTCAATTTTCAAAATCATTCTCATGGTCCTTCAACTTCGGTTTCGTTAGGACAAATGGTTATGTCTTCAATTTTGTTAACTTTTTTTCTTAAATGCAGGGGCGAAATGGTATTTTTGTATTAAATTGTTTAAAATATGAATAAAAATTTAAAAATTTAAAAATTAAAAATAAACTCTTTCTCTCTCTCTCTCTCTCTCTCCCCCTCTATCCCGATTTCTACTCCTCCAAACTTTTTTTTTGTTGATTTTTTTGTTGATTTTCTTTTATTGTTATTTTAAAGATATAATTTTGTATTTTTTTTTAAATATAAAAATACCATTTAACCCCTGCATTTAACAGAAAAAGTTAACAAAATTGACGGCATGACCATTTATCCTAATGAAACTAAAGTTGAAGGACCACGAAAACGATTTTGGAAATTAAGGGACTCAAATGCAAATCGGGTCTAAATTTAGGGGCTAATAAAATGAATAACCCTAGAAAAAAGTTGTCCAACTAAACGAAGGCCGCCACATGTGATGATGTAAAATATCCTCGCATTTTCTTGCGCAACGATAACGTGTTTTGTTGAACTAAGTATTCTTTCGCGATGATATGTATCGTCGCGCAAGTGTTTGCCGCCAAATAATATATCACCCCGCAGCAAACTTTACACAACGATAATGCGTATTGTTGCGCTAAGTTTTCTTTCACGACGATACGTTTCGTCACGCTAAGTAATCATGCGCGACGATATGTGTTGTCGTGCAAGGATTTCTTGTGCGACCAATAACTATTCGCGTAAAATATTGTCGCGCAAAGGATAAAACGTAGTAATGAATGACATAAAAAGAAGGCTTAAGTGCTACAGTACCCCTTGAAACATTGGTCAATTCTCACTTTACCCCCTCAAAGTTAAAGTGACCCACTTTACCCCCTTGACCGATGTTTTGTGTCTCACTTTGCCCCTCACCGTCAAGTCTGTTAAAAATTCTGTTAAAAAAGCTGATGTGGCACCAATGAGACCCACTATTTGGCTAAACTAAGTGCCATGTGTGAAAAAAAATATTAAAAATAAAAAATTGTCTTTTAAAATTCTTAATTTAACTATTGAAAATAAAAATAATTCTTTAAAACAAAAAAAATTCCCAATTCCGTTTCCCCAACCCCATTATCCCTTCACAGTCGCCATCACCACAATTACCACAACTGCTGCTCTCTCTTCCTTTCTCACAAACCCAAGTTCCACCCCTGAAATTTTGTGTTGAATTCGTTACCTCACCAACTTCAACATTTGATACATCTCTGCCTCAATCCAACATCTTCCACTTTTAGCAAGACAAAACAAAGATTCAATTAGACTTTCTATGCATGCCAAGGCCCTAATCTGTTACACCAATTTTAGAAACATGGGCTGTATAAAACTCAGACCACCCTCACTTCCAGCCGCAACCCAAGCCCTACTCCCACCCCTAGCCCTTAAATCCAGCAGCCCCAACCCTCTACACAGTCGTCGACAACCCAGATGAGCTCTGGCCTCTTTTTCTATCAAACCTCCAGCAGCTACAACCCACCATCAACATCTCGCTGAATTCGGAAGCCATCAAATTTGGTTGCAGACCTTCGAGCACAAAACATAAAAAACAATGAATTTTTTTTTCTTTTAATTTGTTGGTTTTTGAATTTGCAGAGAGAGGGGTGGTTGGGTTCGGCTGGGGGTGGGTGTGGGGCCTGGGTTGCCACTGATGCTGGGGGTAGTCTAGGTTGTTGGGGAGAAGAATACACAGAGGGGAGAGGGAGATCACAGAGAAAGGAAAGGGAGAGAGAGAGAGAGAGAGAGAGAGAGAGAGAGAGAGAGAGAGAGAGAGAGAGAGAGAGAGAGAGAGAAGAAATCTGGCTCGGGGATAAAGATGATGGGTTTTTTTTATTTTTTTATTTTTTTAAATTTCTTATATTTAAATATTCATATACACCTAATTTATTAAGAGAAGGAATATTGGTGGGGGATGAGTGAGGTCAAAGCCTTAAATCCATAATTTTTAAAAGACAATTTTTAATTGTTTTTTTTCACACATGACATTTAGTTTAGCCAAATAGTAGGTCCCATTGGTGCCACATCAGCTTTTTTAACAGACTTGATGGTGGGGGGCAAAGTGAGATACAAAATATTGGTAAAGGGGGTAAAGTGGGTCACTTTAACTTTGAGAGGGTAAAGTGAGAATTGACCAATGTTTCAAGGGGCACTGTAGCACTTTAGCCTAAAAAGAAACTGAGGCTTAATCGCATGTATATGTAATAGTTGAGCATTACACGATGGAGGCACCATTGTAAATTGTAATGAAGATAAACTAAACTAGAAGCTAGTGGAGTCCATTGAACGGTGGCACAATCCAAAGTGCGGGTAGAATATCCAGATGCCAAGGATTTAGAGAGTAATGTTTCGTGATAGTTCCGTCCCCTAAATTGAAGATGCCCATATCGCCTAGTGCGGAATAGGTAACCGCATGTCACCAAAATCTATCCAATCATCAGTGTAAGAAAAGGGTTTTCTAGAGTCATAGTTATTTGATCTTGATTTAGTAGGTCTATAGTTGCCAACCAACCATGGCCACGGCAAGAGCCACAACATCTCTTGTCATTATAAGGCACCAGCAACTCAATGTTGTACATATTTCCTTCAGCAACGCTATACATTCTTCACTTAATTTCTTGGGATCTTGTAGGGATCATGAGCATAGGAAGTCGCTGACGCCAGCGTTGCGTTGCGTGATTATAGTCTTTTGCAAGAGCACGCCATTCCTTGCAAACAGCAGCAAAATGGACATGGTCAATGGGTTCTAACATTTTGTCCAGAACCAAAAGCACAACGGGTAGAGGAAGACTTGCCCATTCTCCAGACAGGAAAGTGCTCGAGGTAACAACCATGTTTCCTACTATCAATAGGGCTTCTTAATTGCTAGACCTGTAACAGTACATACATCACAATGAAAGTATTACGAAGAAACAAAAGAACAAGGAAGTAACGGCTGGGAAGATAATACATGCATATACATACATTAATGTGATGCATGGAATAAGAATGCTTTGATATGCACTAACCCTACCAGTAAACCAAGGAACATGGTAAATATACGGTCCAAATACACAAATAAAGCAAAAACAACAAAACCCCAGTACGACACAAGAACCCGTTCCCTCAACTCGAATCTAAACCTGCAGGCAAAGAAAAATATGTCAAAACCCTGTTACCAAACTCAAAAAACAAACAAATTCAAATCAATACAACCCCTAAACTGTTTAGAAACTCAAAAATAAAACTTGCCTCCAGCTGAGTTCGCATCCCAGTTTTGAAGTAGACTTGATCCAACTCAACACAAGCTTGTCTTTGGAGTAGGCGGGATTGATGGAGCCATCTGCTAGTTTCTTGTCAGTCCGTGCATCACTTTTCACAACTTCCTCGAGGTCATGAATCTCTAGGATATCCTGAAATTGAGACTTCCAGCACAAATAGTTATTACGATCCATGGGTGTGGAGAAAAGATGAGAAATATTGAATGAGGTAGGGAGTGATGATGTTTGGTTGGTCATGGTTGTGGATGAATTGTTTTGTGAGATTAGGGAGTCTGCAGGAGAGGAAATAGAAGAAGACTGAGTGGGAGTCATAGAATCTAGGATCGAGTGGCTTTAGCCCAGATGGGCTCTGATACCATATAGAAAAATTAGAACAGTGAAGAAGAATTAGTACAGAGCAGATATTTGGGGAATAGCTCGATGACTATCGATTTCTATTCATGCTTGCTTTATACAATTACAGTTTGATTATTGATACAACACATATGGTAAGGTAACAAGATAACAAAGATTACAAGAGATTGATATAATTCCTGAAATCACGTATGATCAATAGAGAGATGAGGAATTTAAGGCTCTAATGTCGTGGTGATTGGATGTAATATTAGCATGATTGGATGCAATATTAGCATGATTGGATGCATCATTAGTGCTGTTCTCTTCAAGTTTGACCTTCGAGCAGCCTTACTTGATTGGTTATTTTAGGGATTTGTATTCAACTTTTGGATTAGGGCTGTTTGTAACAAAAAATGAAGAGAGAGAGAGAGAGAGAGAGAGAGAGAGAGAGAGAGAGAGTTATTTCAGAGATTTTAATACAATACTTTGGACTTTGGAGTTATGATTGACAGTTCAGTGATGAAGATGGAAGAGGAAGATGAAGAAGAATTAACCCTAGCTTGATTAAAGTTTAGAACAACCCTAAAGTACCCTTGTTTAATTGAGTTTTTATTATCTCACTCCCGTTCACCTGGTCCAAGGGGACCAGGGACTGTCTTGGTCAACTAACGTTAGATTAAATCCAACGGTGGACATAATTCTAAACAATAAACCAAATTTTTTATTTAATGCAATTTGTTTTCTGTAAATAATTTTTAAATCAATTGTTCAGAAAGAAAACTGATGTGAGTTTTAGCTTCAGTACATCTCCCAACACACTTTCACAAGTTTTTAATTTTTTTCTCCTTCAACTCTCTTTTCTGTTCTTCTCTGTTTTTCATGCTCAACAACTCATCTCCATCTTTATCCCTTCCAAAACACGACCTTTCTTTAAACTGTATTGGGGCACTTCTTTTCTATTCTCCATCTACCATTGCGGCACACTTCAATCCTACCCTTGTTTAATTGAGTTTTTATTATATATAGCCCAACTTTAAACCAACGTAAACCTAAAGGTCAAAATCCTTTTACATTTTCTAGGTTGTGGTTTAAAGATGAAGGGATGTGGTTGAATAATTTTATTTCCAAGTATAGAAAGTGATCAGCTGGTTACACAAGGGATTTAAACAAAGGGAAAAATCAATTTGAACCCATTTACTAAGAAAGGGCATTTACTTGCATAACCTTATAGCATCTTCGTAGTGTGTGTGTGAGAAATTCCTATTTTCGGAAGCTTTGCAAGAATACGAGGGAAGGGAAGATGGAGGGGTGCCTGTGGAGGCCCTTCTCAAGTGGGTGCCTTTCAGAAGCTTTGCTGCTCTTGCAAGTAGGGTGTGCGGAGAGGACCAAAGACAAGGCCACCGAGTTGTTGAAGGTGTTGAATATTCACAAAGAGAGATTGGAGTGCATTGACTACGGATTTTAAGGCGCTCAAGAGGCCTTTTTGATTCATCAACCTATGAAAATGTTAGGATGAGAATAGGAAATAAGGGTCATTGGTTGGCGCTTTCGATCTTTTGTTTTTCTTTCACAGTTCATTGTACAAAATACAAATATTTTAGACATACTATTGGCACATGTCAAACTTGAAAATGTAGATAATACAATATTCAACAACAAGTTAGTGCATGGTGATGAGCATATTGAGTACGTATAGGTCTCTTAATTCGTCCTTTGGAGTACTTGTGTTTTTTTTTTTTGGTCGAATTGAGTACTTGTGTTTGATGTGTGTTTTATCAAGTTAATTAGAGGCTTGGCAAATTGTGAATCAACCATCCGGATCAATGAATTATTTTAGAGGAATACTTAAAATGGTTGGAAATATATGGAAAACCATCTCATCATCTTCATGCGTGTCCGCAAAGTTACTAGCAGCCTGAATTGACTGATCTTAATAAACAAATAAAACATGACAAAAACAAGAAGAGACCAAACTCTGTCATGGACAAATGGCGCACATTTTTTGTGCGGGTAGCTAACCTTAAGTTGTAAAAGATTAGGCAAAGTCACGCTAAAGCTCTAGAGCTTGACTGACTGGGGACCACTAGTATAGAATAGAAAACATAGCCTAGAAACATTAGGGGCTGAATTCGTTCAAGATTTATAGTGAGGGCCTTATATATAGCCCTTTGATGAGACTATATCTCTTAACTGTTAGATCAAATTTATTAGTCGTTGGATTCAAATTGATTAACTTGATTCAATGGTTAAAAGATGAGACCTCATTTAAGGGCCATATAAGGCCTTTTGAAAAAAAATATTTTTTCTTTTGGTTACAAGATCATTTTCATAGAAGCCCAAACAACATGCCCAGAAAATAAAATATATTAGAAGAAGGTTGGTCCAGTATATGATGGCAAGGGAACAAGCAAGAACAACCGCAGCCTTACTGTTGTGGTATTGGATTGGGGTTAGTTCATGAAGAAAAAATTATAACAAAAGTTGACTACAAGGTTGGCCCTGTATAAGCTGGCAATCCCAAGGCTTATGCTATTTTTCACCTGCAAATTCACCGAGGAAAATAGTGTAATTGAAGAAGAGAGGTCGCGGGTTATGTCTGAGCGAGAGAGGGTCTGGAAGACTTGTGTTAGACTTAGGTTTTGAGAAGGAAAATTGCGTTTATATGTTGATGAAGTATAAATGCTAGTCTTTGTGAGAAGTTTCCTCTTGGATCATTTTCCTTTGTGGAATCTTAATTAGGAAGTAAAACCAATAAAAAGGTGCCTCAGTGCTGAACTTCTGAATCACACCCAAAAAAAAATAGAAAAAAAAGAGGGCACATAAAAAAATGTAATAAATATTCAATCTAATTCCTACAAAGAGTTTTCTAAAATGAAGACTGAAAGTCTAATTTATTCCTTATTACATGTGATGAGTGTTATTCAGCTAGATTTGGGGATAAATAAGTAGTTTGGCCTGATGAGTGGCTGATATAGAAAGGATTAAGAGAATTTGCGTTGTATATTTGCATCTGCGATGCATCCTTTTGATCTCCATGTTGGACCACGTTCCTGTAATTACAGTATCCATATGATCCATAAGTTCCATTATTGTTGAAGCACATATTATTCTGTTGAGCAACAGGAGGTGACATGTTAATGGAAGCTTCTAGCAGGCTCTCCCAGCTCTCCTCGTCGGTATCATCTTCAAACTGAATCAATGGTTTCTCCTCGTCATAACCTCTATCAAGCTGAATTAATGCCTTCTCCTCGTTAGAACCTCTATCAAACTGAATTAAGGGCTTCTCCCATTTCGTAGTAACGAGGATATGATCCTTATTAATGTCGTCCTCTGTTGAAGTCGAACTAGAGTACTCGACGAAAGATGATGGCACTGATGCTGATGAAGTTGGTGAAGAAGTTGGCGTAGAAGAGGACTCTGTCAGCTGCCACATGCCATTGAGAAAATTCTCGAGAGCATGAATTTGAATATGTGGGATTTGATCTATGAAGGGATATTCATATGCTCCACAGAACCCCATTGCCTTACACCACTCATAAAACTCGCAGAGTTGATTTGCTTGGACAGCTGCCTTCTTGTAAATACCAAATGCTGATATGCAACTCCTGTATGGCATCTGAAACAGGCTGTCCAGAACCATAACAATTTCCCTCCGAAAGATTGTGTAGCTCATAAAGCTATCTCTAATGATATGCTTCATAGCCAACTGGACGAGGAAAGCTTTCGCTGCTGCTCCTGTGGGACGGCAGTCCATGACAAGGTCAATGAGGCTTTGCAGCTGTGGCAACACTTCAAGCATTCGACCAACTTCTGTCATTTTATTTGACAAGCTCCCAAATTGCCCTTCTTCTTCGTCTTCTTCTTCTTCGTCTTCTTCTTCTTCTTCTTCTTCTTCTTCTTCTTCTTCTTTTGCATATTCTTGACAGTGATGTTCTTGCTGATTGTAGGCTGGCTTGCTATCCAACAAAAAACAATGAAGAGCTTCGTCAAGGAGCCGAGCATAGGATCTAATAAAGGCTGTGTAATCTTCAGATGCCGAGGATGAATCATCACGGAAGTGACACTGACTGAGAGACATCAAGCCATTGGATCGTCTCCAAAGGAGCTCAGACCGGAACTGGCTGTCTTCAGGGACAGCACGAAGCAGACGATGGAGGAGGATTAGACACTTGAGTGCAACCCGCCAGCAGCGAGTCTTGCCAAAACGGCGAGTGAAGCTGAGTGAAAATTCTCTCAAT